TGCTATGCATCTCTCTCCATTGGCTTGATCTTTACAAGCGCTGTAACAACTTATGATACGTCTAGGACTCAATCATGACCGTCCCCTAGTCCGGGACGATCCCACGATCAGCCTCCCTATTGGTCCGTCTGTTCCATTCAACCTAGCCCAGGAGCCCGATCTCTTCTCGTCGTCTGTCGCTACCCCAACTCACCCCGCTCCCTCCCGACTCACCTCAAATGACAACCTACCCTCATGTCTTACAGGATTTTCTTGGATCTCTTGCCGATACATCCTTTTCCCATAGGAGCGGCTACGGTCACACTTTAGGCGGCCCGCGACCACGAGTCGGCCCGCGCCGACGCCGAGGCGGCCGTCGCCCTCGACGCAAAGTACACCAAGGCGTGGTCCCGCCTCGGCCTCGCCCGCTTCGCCCTCGGCGACGCGCGCGGCGCCATGGAAGCCTATCAGAAAGGCATCGACGCCGAGGGCAACGGCGGCAGCGACGCCATGCGCAAGGGCTTCGAGACGGCCAAGCGCCGCGTCGACGAGCTCGAGGCCGAGGGCTCCGAGAACGCCAGGAGTCCCACGGCCAGCCCCGGCCCTGGCGCTGGCGCCGGCGCCGGCGGCATGCCTGACCTCGGCAGCCTTGCCAGCATGCTCGGCGGTGGCGGTGGCGGCGCCGGCGGCATGCCCGACTTTAGCCAGATCATGAACAACCCCATGTTCGCGAGCATGGCGCAGAACCTCATGAGCAACCCCGACATGATGAACAACCTCATGAGCAACCCGAGGCTCCGGGAGATGGCCGACTCGTTCGGCAGCGGTGGCGGCATGCCTGATCTCGGCAGCCTGATGCAGGACCCCAACATTGCTGACATGTGAGTTTTTTTAGAGTTTTTTTTTTTTTTGGGGGGGGGGGGGGGGTGCGGTTTGCGTTGAATCGAGTGCTAACAGTCGCCAGGGCGCGCAACATGATGGGCGGTCAGGGTCCTCCGGGCGCTGGTGGTGCTGGTGGTGCCGGCCGTGGTGCCGGCTCTGGCGGGCAGTGAAAAGGTACTCACTATTGGACGCAGAGAGAGAGAGGGAGGAGCAGGCACAACTAGATACATGATCACGAGCAGGCACGGCCTTCTATTGACGAATGACAAGCAAACATGATATTTCCATGCGTTTCAGTACGCTCACTAATGACTGCAGGAACGATCGTCTCCATCGCGCTCGCCTTCCTCGCCGTCACTGCTCCGTCTGGGAAGGCACCTGTGTCTCGCATACCTGCCCTGTCGGGTGATATATCCCCCCCAAACAGAAGACACCTTGTTCATGGTCTTGTCTCCCCCCTACAGACTCTGCAATCCTTCCCACCCGTCTCACTCTTTTGGACGTAAAGCTGCCGTTCCGCACTATCAGCATCTTCATCGTTGGTCTCATCATCATGGGGGTCATACGAACCTTGCTGGGCCTTGTCCAGTGTTGCCTTCCTCTGAACAGTTATGATGTTGACAGTGCTGAGGACGAACGCCAGCCGCTTCTAGCCCGGGATGGTACCTACATCGTCGTGCTCCATCATGGCCGGATCATTGAACAAGGCAGCCACGAAAAGCTGCTCGCATCCACGGGCAGATACGCCAGTCTCTGGGCCACGAAAGAGCCAGGCAAACAGAACGAGGCTTCTTGCCCCCGCTATTCCGACCGCTCAACGAGCACAGAGCCCAAGGCTATGCTCGAACGCACCATCACGGCATCCCCCATCAAGACGCCTCAACGCCATCGCCGCGAGGGCTCCAAGCTGAACCCGGACGCTCCCGAGTTTACGCCCGGCGCCCTGGCTGCGGCCAGGAGCAACCCCAGCCCCTTCATCAACAGGGTCGAAACGCCCACTCCCGCTCAGCGGACCACTACGCCTCTGCCCGAGAACATTGCACTGCCCCCCAGCGCGGCACCCGTGATACGGGCAGATTTTCGGTTCCCGTTGGTCTCTCCTCGCCGCCGGTTCCAGTCCAAGAGCGAGACGAACGAGTATGGTTCTGACGAGTGTGCGACGCCGCGAAGGGTGTCTGCGCCTTCGCCTAGCCGCACCATGCGGGACGCACCGCGCGAAACAGAAAAGTTGGGGTGTGGCCGAGTGCATGACGATCAAGGGTCCGTGGTCGTCGGAAAGGACAAGCCTGAGAGCCAGCACGTCATCACGATCAATACCATCAAGCCTGCGGCGTCTCCTCCGGCCAAGCCATCGACAAACCATTCTCAGAGCCCCAAAAAGGACGAGGGCACCAATCCTTCTGCCGCTACGCAAAAGGGACACGGCCGTCCCAGGGCCCGATACGGCAGAGGTAGAGGAGGCCGTCGCGGAGGACGGACTGACACAACACGCGGTCCGGTCGAGGGAAGCTCAGCTCTGCCAGTGCCCACAAAGGGCCGTCGGTAGTCAGGAAATCAATGTGCAGGCGGCGCGTTGCGACTAGCTAGTATCGGGATATCAAGAATTAAGCATGCACTATGACTGACACATACATATTTTGGGGGTAGAGGCAAAGGTGGCACAAGAGGCATGGATATTCCGCCACAGACGTAAGGTCGGTAATTGGGGTCTTTTAGTTGACTTAGTATTAGCCACGGGTTTCAATTCAAGTTTGCATTTAGCTCTCTTGCCATGCTCGCGCGTGATATGGCGGACGTCAGACGAAGCCACGCCCCAGACGGAGATTGGCTCCCAGGGCTGGACACGCGACCAAGCATGGGCAGGGTGGGCATCCGGGGCGGACGATCCGGAGCATGTGGAAGCAACCGTTTCAGAGCCTGGGCACGACAGGGCTGTCTCCGCGTTCCTTGATCTGGGCCTGGCTCCATTGCCAGATTACGATGTGGCTGGAGCAGATCGAGATGGCGGCTTGAGAACACGGATGTGTTGTTCTCGTGCAACGAGTTCACGGCCAGTTATTTTTTCCCCCCCTTTGCACTGAGTGAAGCACTGCCCATGCCAACTCGTGGTCGACTGACACAGCCCGTGTCCGCAGCTGGGCTCTCTGCCTTGCGCCGCCTGCGCCGACAGCTTTGGCGGGTCCCAAGCTTGGCGGATTAAGAATAGGAATTTTGGCCCTGTGGCTGGGGCGCTTTCTGGTCTTGGTCTCGGGGGAAGGATGCAGTGGTTTGTGTCTCTGCTGGGCTCCGATCCGGGACTCGGCTGTGTGGGCCAAGAGACCTGCTGGGGTCGGTTTGCCAAGGTGCCCGGGGTGGGCTGGGGCGGCGCTGGGAGGAACATGACGTCCTTGGCCTTGTCCCAGGGCCACTGCCGCCTAACCTTCCGCGGCCGTAGCCTGTGGTCGGCGGCCTGGGAGTGGGCTGTAGGGCTCCGAAAGCTCCCTCGGGCAAGAGCCTACCTACCTAGCTTGCTAGCTTGGATACCTAAGGTAAGGTAGGTAGGGGCGGGCGGCACCTGGCTGTGCTGGCACCAACCACAGCACACCACAGTACGAAAGAGTGAGGGAAGGAAGGAAAGGTGGGGGGGTCATGTCAGGGCATCGCCAGCTTCCAAGACGATTTTCCCATTCCTTGCATCGAACCACGTTACATCCCCCCCTCCCGCCCAGACACACACACACACACACTCATCACTGCTGCCATGGTCTGAGGATCACACAGCACCGCCTGGGCTACCTTGGCTACCAAGGTACGGTACCTTGGCTAACTCGTCTCGCCAGCCGCTGCCGTTTTTGCTGCCGTCTGGGCAAACCACCATTCTGTTGGTTATCAGCCCTTCCGACCGCTAGGCTTCCGGGCCATGCCTCTGGCCCCCCCTTCCCTCATCTCATTGATGGTCACGCCCTGCCGCTTGCTGGCAGGGCATCGTGCCCACGTCCACGGCATGACGTCTTGGCCTCTGGCGACACGCCCTGTTAGCCATCGCAAATGAGCTCTACGTGACGGGAGCCCAGCCCCGTACCAAGCAGCTTTCCCAGACGTCTTTGTCAGACGCCGCCGTATTGTCTATTGTTCGCTGACATGGATGGCTTCTGCTTATGAGGCGTTGTCCCGCTGCTGGGTGCCTCGCTGGCGATCCCCGTTCTGTCTCCTTCTCTTTCCTCTTCCTCATCTTCTGCTTCCCCCGTACGCATGACGATACCTACCGCAGACATGGAGAAAGGAAAACGCACGTGGAGTCCAGCTGGTCGTAGGGCGGCACGCCGGCTGCCATTGAGACTCGTCAACCGTATCCTCGTCATCACGGCCATCGTTGGCCTCTTTCACCTCGGCGACCTCCACGTCACGTTCCGAAGTGCCATCCAGGCCAAATACAGCCCCACCCAATTTTCATCTCTGACCTCGGACGAAGAGGTCCTCCTCGCGCGCCAGGGCTGGCAAGCAGAAGCCGTCGAGAACACCGACAGGGCCAGGTTTCTCTCGAATCGACCGCGCTGGAAACACCTGGGAGGCGGCCATGAAGGCGACGTCTACCTCTTCAACAACTCCATCATCAAGATCTTCAACGAAGGCAACAGCCCCTTACGCAACTGCGTTCCCGGGGCACAGCAGACGCGCTGGCCCACAGAGATCCCTGCCACCCTGCTGCTTGGCGGCCACGGTGGCTTGGACCGTGAGAGCCTCAGCATACACGAAGAAGAGAGCGATCCCTTCAGCAGCATGTTCGTCCCCGTTCAGGACTACTTTCTCACCTCGCCCCGCGATCACGAACCCCCCAAGTGGCATCTTGTCACCCCCTTTTTGCGGGCTGGCACCGCCGAGAAGCTCGCCCACGACCTGAGCACGGCCCCGGAGCCCTTTGATCATCTAGAAATCGACCGCACATACCGTCCGGCCTTCAACGCTCTGCTCTCGGCCTTGGCGCACATGCACACTGCCCACAACCTGTGTCACGACGACGTCAAGCTCGACAATATTTTCATCGCCTCGAGAACAGATTCCACACGCTGGGTCTTTGCCGACCTGGGCAATGCCCGTCAGCCGGATCATCCGTACCATGCTTCGGCTTTGTGGACAGCAGATACGGATCAGCACAGAGACTGTCGGATCAACGATGCCGTGCGTCTTACCAAGTCGTATCTGCAGTTTGTGCGCGGTGCCGCCGCTGACCGCGCTGCTTTCGACGAAGCCTTCTTTCGGGGCGAGGCGCCCCTCAGCAGGCTCTATTGGAGCGTCGTCGGGGAGCCACCGGCGAAGGCGGCCGTGGGCGTTCGGGAGAGGTCGGTCATGTACGCGCCGTACGTGGACGGCTGGGAGGCGCCAGGGGCTGCTTTGCGGCTGCCCGAGTCGGCGAGGCCTCCTGCAGGCGCATTCAGGAGAGTTTTGGGGTTTTTACTCGGCGCAGAGAACGCGGCGGCCGTGGAGGTCTCACGGACGCTTCGGATCGGAGCAAAAGAGAGGCTGGGACGCGTGTTCGGGATGACGGGGCTCTTGGGGGTTCCAAAATCTGGGTGCGCTTGAAGGGGTGATTACACGATGTTACGGCCGACACATGATACCCTTTTTTTGTATGTATGGATGGATCTGAGTGCAACGCTCCTAGGTAGCATGCCCGGGTGACCGAAAACCTGGGTAGAGTTGATTCTCTTGCACTCATGTTTACTCGTTATGAAAGTGACAATATGAGATCAGGATCATGAGCGATCTGCATTTTAAGCTTTGCTGATCCCTTGGGTCGCGTGTGCAGGTCGTATTTCTCCATCGCGTACAGTGACATTGTGGTTTGAATCTGGTACTGACGTCTCTAGCAAATCCTCCGAGGTGGCCCGATTGATACTTTTTTTCTTTAAAGTTGTCGCCGTCGTTTCAAGGACTTGGCAACTCGAGGTGATAGACAGACGTTGTGGATTATGCGCAGAAGTGCGTGAGGTGGAATGCCGTTACTTCCGTCCTCACATGCGCGACCCCATACCCTCTGTTGACAACGTCGTGAACGCGCAAGCATACACAAGGATTCAGGCTTAAAAATAGACGGAGATCGTTCGGCTTGGGATTCGTCATATGGCGTGCACATGGTCAAGGAAGACTTCCCGCGCTGGACATGGACACCGGCAGAGCAGGATACGAACCCCCATCCGTGAAAGGCGGCCGTCACGGGATGAACCGCGCCCTAAGGTTTCACGTTCTGTGTACTTGCCACACGTGAGATGTCAATCTTGCGCCTCGCAAACCTTAACCTGGGGCCAAAAGCACGCGCAGGAAGGTTTGGGTGTTCGGCTGTGTTCAGATGACAGCATCTCCTAGCGTGACAGCGACCTAGCAAGGGGGGACAGATGAAGCCGCACTCTAAATCCGCCAAACCCAGGTATTGTCCAGAAAGACTCCTAGCTTCGGAACCCTTTCAACACCTCGTATCTTATTCACATGCTCTAAAATTCTACCTGCTAAATAATCGGCGATATTGTTAAAGGCGAATCTATTTTTATCAGTTTCGAGCTGATATAAAGTATAGTAGAACGGTTTAAAGTCAGGTCGCCTCTAAGGAGTGCGGCTATTTTTGTTCCCCCCTTGCCTGGCTCTGCCCGGCTATCACGGCACTTGCCAGTCGGGGCCCGGCAGCCCGGCGAACCCGGCCGCTGACCTGGTAGTCCGATCCGCGAACCTCCGCGATATACCTCCACTCGCAGACGAAGTGCCAGGGGCCGGGGTCCCGGCGGGGCCAGGACGGAGGGGCCATAATCGGCAACTTTCGTGTACTCCGGAGCAGCGGTACGTGTACCAAGTATGTGGACGGGATTACTTCGCCGCCCCATTCCATCCATGCGTAGATCAAGTGACGGACTGCGGGGGCGGCAGTCCAAGGGAAGAAAGGGCGGTGATGGTTTCTGGGAGTAGCGGGACGGTTGACGGGCAATTTTGCGCCCACTGGGTCTGTTTTGCCTTTGCGCTGTTCCGTTCGGCAGGGAGGCATGTCGTGATGTGCATGCCAATACGCCGAGCTCCCAGGGTAAGGTAAGATGATTCCGAGTGCGAGGACCAGGTATATAAAGGAGGGAGCAGACAGGAGTTCATTGACGCCCTCGTGTACGTGATAGTGCTTCACGGTACCGAATCACCTGACTATCTTCGCATCATGAGATTCCAGAACGCCCTCGCTCGGGTCGCGACCCTCGCCCTCGCGGGCCTCGCTGCCGCAGAGAAGCGCCAGACCCCTCCCAACGGCGCCATCGTCGTGGCACTCTCTGGCGGCGACTTCACCACGGTACGTAGCCGCAGCCCAGCCGAGCCTCGCAGACAGCAGTCTTGCCTGGACGACGGCCATGCTAACGCGAACCAACAGCTCCAAGACGCCGTCGACTCGATCAAGTCGTCCAAGACGCCGTCGACCATCTTCATCCAGCCCGGCACCTACACGGGGCAGACCAAAATCCCGAAGCTCGCGGCGGCGCTGACGATCCAGGGCTCGACGCCCGACCACCTCGACTACGCCCAAAACACGGTGGTGCTGACCAACGCGCTCTCGGCCGTCGAGGCCGGCGGCAACGACCAGTCGGCGACGCTGAGCGCCAAGGCGCGCGACCTGAGCGTCTACAACGTCAAGATCGACAACACGTTCCCCGTCGGCAAGCCGGGCAGCCAGTCGCAGGCGCTGGCGCTGTCGGCCAACGGCGAGCGGCAGGGCTACTACGGCGTGCAGCTGACGAGCTACCAGGACACGCTGTACGTCAACAAGCCGGGCCTCGTCTTCAAGGACAGCTACATCGAGGGCGCCATCGACTTCATCTTTGGCAACAACGGCAACGTCTGGATCGAGGGCTGCGACATTGCCGTCGCCGGCAAGGGCTGGGTCACGGCCAGCGGGCGGTCCACGGACGACAGCAACTGGTACGTCCTCAACCGGGCCAACATCACGGCCAAGAGCGGCGCCAGCGTCGCCACCGGCGCCAGCCTGCTCGGCCGCCCGTGGAAGCAGTACGCCCGCGTTGTCGTGCAGAACTCGGCCCTCGGCAGCGTCATCGGCCCTGCCGGCTGGTCCACCTGGGGGAGCAACCCCGTCACCAATGTCTTCTTCGCCGAGTCGGGTAACCAGGGCGACGGCGCCAAGGGCACGAGGGTCACCTGGGCCAAACCGCTGGACACGCCAAAGAAGATTGACGACATCATGCCGGACTGGAAGTCGTGGGTTGACCAGGACTACTGGAAAGCTTGAGCGTCGTGGTTCTCTGTACATAGTCATGGTTCTACACCGTCCATTGCACAGCACATAGTTGCATGCGTAGTCCTCCCAGAGAGAAAACAAGTCAAATTTCGCAAGTGTGCTTGATATTCTCAAGTGTCCAGTCCACAACATAGAGAAGACGACGGTAAAGCACCGCAAGTCACAGGGGTATATCCGTCTCGTTTGTTACACGCTCTTCCACACCCGCCTCCACAGAGGGGGCTTCACTCCTTCTTCCCCCTCAGCCTCTCTCTCCCTCGTGGGCTCGAGATCGCGCCTCCTGCCTGACATGAGATCAATGTCCTCGAGGCGCCAGTATGTCGTCTTGTTCCACCACTTGTATCCAAAGTAAATGATGGCAAACAGCGGCAGCAGAATATATGCATCGACAAAGCCACCGGCATCAAACGGCGACAGATTCGTCCAGCCCTGCACGAGAGCCAGGAACATGTTGGCGCCGAGCCCAAAGTATGCGTTGTACGGGTACAGCAGCGACTTGAACGGCAGGTCGGCCTCGTTCAGGTTCTGTGCCTTCCAGGCCTGGCGGAAGCGAATATGCACAAACGAGATGGAGCCCCAGACGAGAAACGTCGACACGCCGCTGAGGTTGACAATGTAACCGTACGCCTTGCCGGCACCGGTGCTGTTGTTCATCATGGACAGGGCGCCACAGAGGTTAGTGAAGAGAATAGCCGGGATGGGAACACCGCGCTTGTTGGTCCAGCCGAGGATCTTGGGCGCTTTGCCGTCCTGACCCATGTAGAGCAGCGTGCGCGAGCCGATGTAGATGGAAGCGTTACAGGCGCTCAAGCAAGTGACGCAGATGAAGGCATTGATCAGGTGCACGCCACCCTGCCAGCCAGCGTTCTGAATGGCGACCGTCATTGGGCTCTGCAGGGCCTTGGCATTGGCGTTGACGAGCATGTCCGAGTTGGCGGGGCAGGTGAGGCCAAAAAAGATAGCCGAGCCCATGTAGATGAAGATGATGCGCCAGAAGACCTGGCGAATGGCGAGGGGCACGGCACGGCCAGGGTTCTTGGTCTCTGTGGCGGCCACGGCAACAGATTCAACGCCGGCGTAGAACGTCGAGCAGAAGACGAAAACAGTAGCCATGCCTCGGAAGCCATTATTGTTCCATGGGCCGGGGTCGACCCAGTAGCGGTTGCCGAGGGCCTCCTGACCGGGGATTCCTCCGGAGACGTAGACGAGCGAGAAGAAGAAGTAAGCGACAAGGCCGACGAGCTTCAGCAGGGCGAGCCAGAACTCGGATTCGCCGAAGGATTCAACACCAAGCAGTTGAAAGCCGGTAAAGGCAAACTGGCCGGGTTAGTAAGACTGGTAGCGGTTGTGTTGACGGCTTTACGCACCCAGAACAGTAGGAAGTATCCCCAAAGAGGCACCTTGTCGCTCCAATAGACAAAGATGCTACACAGCGCATTGTACTCGTTGGCGAGCACGCAGAACCAGATGATGTAGTAGTTCCAGCCGATCGCGACACCAAAAGCCTTGTCGACAAAGCGATCGCCCAGGGCCGTGAAGGCGCCGCCTGAGGGGTACAAGGTCGTCATCTCGCCGAGACTCTGCATGATGCTGAAGGCCACGATGCCAATGACGCCAAAGCCAATGATCAGCGAAGCAGGACCACCGTTGGCGAGAGCACCGCCTGAACCGACGAGAAGGCCAGGCCCGATGATGCCAGCAAGGGCCATCATGCTGAGGTGGCGCGTCTTCAACCCGCGCTTGACGCCAGACTTGGGGTCGATGGCGTTGAAGTCATCGGAGCTGCTGTCTGTCTTGTCGGGGTGCGACTCGAGGGTGTGGTCTTCGACGGTAGGCGAAATGCCGTGGCCGTGACGGGCGCGTTCCTGTTCGGAAACGCCAAGGGCGGCGGCGGCGACGGCCGGGCCATCAGAAGCCGGCAGCGGCGTCGGGTGGTCATGCTGGACATGGTAGTCCTTGCCGTCGTCATGGTGGGCCATGCTGGGCGATTGTCTCACGAAGCAGTCGTGGGGGAATCAGTTAGGAATGCAAGAACAAGGCTTGCGAGGGAAAGAGGAGGAGAAGAAAAGCTCGCAGACAGGGTGATCAGCAGTGAAGAAGGGACCCTGATTTTTAAATGTTGTCGAGCTAGAATCTCGGTGCGAATGCGGCCTGGGCTGGCTGGCCCCGCGTCTTCGTCGGTACTTGGCGAGCCAGGGAGCCCTAGGAGCCCAGGTCGAGATCTTCTCCCACCGTTCCCCCTTCCTAGTGCAGGGCAGAGGCTGCAACACCCGCCCACCGAAGCCGGCGCTACGGCTGACTAGCCGCGTGAATTCTGGAGACAGTTCAGAGACGCTGTCCCTGCCGTGTCTGGATGGGTGGTGTCTGAGATGTCGAGTGGAGATGTAGCTGGGGGTCAAGCTCAATCCCAAGCGTAGAGCAAAACGCTGGGTGGCGATGGCGTGCTCAGGAATGTGCATCCCAGGCTAGTAAGGTTCGGATCGCGTCATGAGCGATGGCCGCGGGAGGCCCGAGTTCATTGGGTGTTGCCGGGACCCAGACCGGCGCCACGGTCAAGGACATGCAGATTCGGCTTGTCTCCTGCATCTTCTGCTCGCGTGGGGAGACCTAGCCAGGCAACGCTGAGGCCTGTTCCCGCGTGGGGTTTTGGTGACAAAGCGGGCTCGTGGCGTCGACACGGAGGGCCCTGTGAGCCGACAAAACGTGCCTTGTGTGCTGAACGCAAGACTGTTGATGGGTTTGGTCGTTACCGTATGGCAGGTCTGTGGTTGGGGGTGCCATCGTGCCGGGATCCAGGGCTGAAGTTGGCTTGAATTTGCCATAACGCCAGCCTCTGACGCGGGCAAGCTAGCAGTGTGCTGCTGAGCGTTTGACGTCTGTTGCTGTGCAGATGGTAACCCCAGAGCCTCTCTCCCTTGTTGGTCAAGTGCGGGGATGGATCGAAGCTGTGTATAGCGCTAAGTCGTGACCGCCTGGCATGGCATCAAAATTGGTCATTGGGTCGTGGGGTATCATTTCGAGGCGTCAACATTGACGGCCACAAAACGCCATGATGTTCAGGCGCAGGCCGGATTCGGCTTCGATGAAAGCAATGAGCTTGTGATGGTGTTGAAGGATGGATTGGAATGTAGAGACCCGGAGAGGGAAGGGACATGGTACAGTGGCTGGTGGCTGGTGGCTGGCAACGGATGGCTGAAAGGTAGATAAGGCTGATGGCGATTAACACAAAAAATGGCCAGTGCACAGAAGCTTGCCAGGTTTTGCCAGCTGGCCCATCGCCGACCAGCCAGATCCACCTGCTCCGGGCAGCCGGCCGATCAAGTGTGGTACACGAGCCGGCCCCCGCTTCCGGAGGTGGTCTTCCATAACGCGGACCATATCCAGGTGATTGTGGTGAAGAGTGTTGAGCTTGTGACTGTATTAAATTACCTGCAAACCTTTATGGACGAACACAACTTCTCTTTCTAAGAATCGCAAACCTCACCAATGCTAAGACGCCTCTCGCCCGGATCGATAACTGGGGGGCGCGCCAGTGCTCCTTCGTTCCAGCTCCACCCCATCAGCACCCAATTGTCCCTGCTCTAGCTTCGCATGATCCTGTTCTATCCTCCTCCTCATCTTGCGTGTTCCGCAGCACCAGATTGTGCTCAACAGCCCCGTGACGATCCACAGAAGCATGTTGACGAGGTTGAGCCAGACGGCTACCTTCATCCTGCCTGACGCCGGCGGGAGCCCTTCCTGTTTGTATTGCCCTGCAAGATAGAGTGTTCCGAAAACACCAGTGATGGCCGCCCAGAAAACAGCAACCACCCAGTCCCAGACGCACCAGCCGTAGCGCGTCACCGTGATGAAGAGATGCAGGACCACCGTCACCATGGAGAGCACGGCGGCCACGATGGCGAAGATCCACTGTGAGGTGCAAGTCGAGGGATCGTCTCGCGTGTCGATGCCGTAAAGAATGGCGATGACGAGTGCGAGAAGGAATTGCAAGGTACGGAGGATGGTGCGGGCGATCAGGCCGCCGGCGCCGCCTTTGTGCCAGTAGCCATCGTGCATTCTGCGTCCGCCTTGGTGTTTGCGCAGTCGATACTCGCGAATATGTTGATGTGTATTCTTCGCTGGGCTGTTCTGATCTAAAAGCGACAAACTGTGTTCGATGTGCGTTTGCGGCTGTTGGATCAGAGTTTGGGGCTTAAAGAATTGGGAAGCCTTCGAAAGTGTTCAGTTCGGATGCAAGTGATGGAGATGAATCCAAGATCAATCCTGAGAATGGAGTCGAAAAACAAAAACTGCCGAACCACAACAGGGGACCTCCTCTTTTACATATTCTTAGGAACCCTGTCTCAGACGGCATTGCCGATGCCCATGTCGATCACCTCCGACCAGATTCCGTACCCATTCTTTTGGCCTTTGTCCGGCGTTGTTTTTCTTGGAATAGAGCATCAATTTGTGGAGACGCAAACCCGATCAAATGCGCAAAATCATTAATTAGCTGAGCTCTCTCTCTGGGAACGCGATGGCGCCGGTCGCCGAGTCAGTCCTAGACGGGGCCGGGCCGCACAGCGGCTTCAGCAGCCTGTATTCCGGCAGCGAGCTTCATGATTTACGCATTCTACCCGTAAACTCGGACACGCGACGTCACGGCACCGCCAACGACTCGAACAACGGAAAGCCCTTCGCTGCATTCATGCGAACTATTCCAGATCTAGAAAGCCGTGCAGGGTTGCGCGTCCGGTCAAGGACCGAGGAAGCGCAATGAGTTAGCGTCTTGAAATGACGTCCGACTCACGATCTAAGCCTTATAGGCAAGTCGTGATCCCCGAACCTAGTCGACGGGGAAGTTCTAGTTATTTTTGTCTTCTCATCGACTCGTGTATCATTTGACTTTTGGCTCCCTGGGGTAAGATCTGCGCAGAAATCCTCTGCATCGAAGATGTGCTTGACAACGAAAGACTGGTCTTCGGATTAAGCGCCCCATCGCCAGCATGAACGATTCGAATGCACCTAAGCAAGGTGATGGTTTTGACACCCTTTCGCTGAGTCCAACACTCCAGGATCATGAAACCAATGGTACGCAGTCACAGTTCGTCCGTCACACACGTCACTCCGAACAAAAGCTGATCAGCCAGGCGACGGCCGTGTCGACATTGATATCGACCCGCGGGCCTCCAAGCAGTTGGACAAGATCCTCACGTCACAGACCTCTCACGACCCAGCGAATGCCAGGCCTTTGCGACCCTTGAGCCCAACGTCCACTCCACCCCCCAATCTCAATATCCTCATCCAGGTCATCGGCAGCCGCGGCGACATCCAGCCCTTTGCAGCCCTCGGCCACGAGCTCCAGAAGCATGGCCATCGTGTCCGCCTTGCCACGCACGACACGTTCCGCACGTTTGTACAGTCTGCCGGTCTCGAGTTCTTCCCCGTCGGCGGCGACCCCTCGGAACTCATGGCCTACATGGTCAAAAACCCAGGCCTCATACCGAGCATGGGCAGCATACGCGCGGGGGACATTCAGTCAAAGCGGAAAATGGTAGCTGAGATGCTCGACGGATTTTGGCGGAGCTGCATCGATGCAGATCCGGAAACGGGGGCGCCATTCGTGGCAGACGCCATTGTGGCCAATCCACCAGGGTTTGCGCATGTCCATTGCGCGCAGGCGTTGGGTGTGCCATTGCACGTCATGTTCACGATGCCGTGGACAAGCACGAGGGCGTTCCCGCACCCGCTAGCCAACCTGAAGGGAAAAGATGAGGGGCCGTCCGCAGGAAAGTACTTGTCCTATGGCATTGTCGAGTTTATGACTTGGAAAGGGTGAATATGATAGAATCACTAGGGTGATCATGGGAAAGCTAACGAATGCCCGCAGACTCGGCGACCTCGTCAACAGATGGCGCGAGGATACACTGTGCCTGGAGCCGATCGCAACGAGTGAAGGCTGCAGACTTCTCGAGAGCCTCGCCATCCCCTTTGCCTACTTCTTCTCACCTGCACTGGTGCCGAGACCGGCCGACTGGGGCTCCAACATTGACGTCTGCGGCTTCGTCTTCCGCGACCCCCCGAAATACGAACCTCCAGCCGCGCTGCGCAAGTTCCTCGATGCTGGTTCTCGACCCGTATATATTGGCTTTGGCAGCATTGTCGTCGACGACGCCGATCGCATCGCCACGATCATCCACGAGGCAGTCAGCCTCCTCGGCATACGCGCCATCATATCCAGCGGCTGGACAAACCTCGCCAGCGAGACGGATGCGGAGCCAAATCCGCCAAATCCCGATATCTTCCACATTGGTGAATGCCCGCACGAGTGGCTCTTCCAACAGGTCGCAGCTGTTGTACACCATGGTGGCGCAGGCACCACGGCCTGCGGGTTGGGCTACGGCAAGCCGACAATCGTCGTACCCTTTTTCGGCGAGTATGTGACCTGTCTTCCCTCCCCCAAGCACCCGCCCCGAGACAAGCCAACCCACGACTGACATGTCAGCCAACCATTCTGGGGCCGCATGATCGCCGAAGCAGGCGCCGGACCACCGCCCATCCCCTACGCGGCGCTCACCTCCCGCAAGCTCGCCGACGGCCTCTCCTACGCGCTGAGCCCCCAGGCTCTGGCGGCGGCCCTCGAGATTGCCAACACCATGTCCGTCGAGCAGGGCGCACGCGTCGCAGTCGAGGCGTTCCACAAGCATCTTCCGCGCGCGGGCCTGCGGTGCGAGCTGTTCCCGCAGGAGACGGCGGCGTGGTCGTACAAGGGCGAGCACCGCGCCGTGCGTCTGTCGAAGAGGGCCGTGGCAATCCTCACGGCCCGGGGCGTGCTCGAAGAGAAGAAGCTGAAGCTGTGAGCATTGTTCCCATGCCGGTCTGCCTGCTCCTACACAATGTGGTATGCTAACCTCTGCACGCCTGCACAGACACGAGACCAAGCCGTTCACAATCGACATCCAGCGCTGGGACCCCATCACCGCCATCTCGGCTGCCTCGG